TGTGTGTGTGTGTGTGTGTGTGTGTGTGTGTGTGTGTGTGTGTGTGTGTGTGTGTGTGTGTGTGTGTGTGTGTGTGTGTGATGAAAGCATTCGAAATAATCAATTTTACTAAAGATAAATATCTTTTCATAATCAAGTTTTAAATAAAAAGGAAGAAAGTTGCTCAGTTTTTTAAAGAAATTTTGAAGACATGATATTTCCATTTTTATGAAATAAGGGTAACCACTTTGATTTTATTCGCACGATCGTTTGTCATTCTTTCGAGAATCACAGACGTTCTCGAGGAATCTCTACGCGCACGTTCGAAACGGCAGCAATGTGTTTGTTGTTTCAAAAAATTTCGTAATTATGAAAGCAAACCACCGCATGGGAAAGTTGCCGTCTAAAAATAATCATCTTTTAGGAGAACGAGGACCGATCGATATTATGCAAAACCGTTCGGAAACTGATATGTCGGTATATATCATATTAATTTGATTATCATGGCAGAAATGTAGACTATGTACTACAAACCACTGTTTATTGTCATCGTGGCGTCTGCTTTCCGAGCCTCTCAAATGATGAGCTGTGTCCTTCTTGTGACGCACAATTTTTAATGCTGTAGAGATAAACAAACAAATATTGCAGATGACAGTGACACTCATGGGTCCATAAAAATATAACGCCCTCGCCTCGTCCGCTGAAAATTAATTTTTCGCATTAACATCGTATTTTGTAAGTATTAATTTAGACAATTTTCAGATTTGAATATAGTTCTAATGAATTAAACTTGAGCACGGTTCTAATGAAACTCGTTATCGTACTATCAGTAAACATTCACTTACTATTGAACCAGCATTTTGTGACACCAATTTCCGGTCGAATCAATTCCTTTGGCACGCTGGGAACGAAATCCATGATGGCACAAAAGATACTAAGAAGAGAAGCGCTTCCCCACGCGTAAATCGAATATATAATGAATTTTTTTCTCTCTCGTTGTTTTACGCTTCCTTGTAACGAACGGAATCCTCTGTAAAATATGATTTACATATTATCACATTGAGCCAGCCACAAGTAGAACAAGTTGCTATGCAAATGGCCAAATGCACATTAAAATAACTATCGCCTTAAGTTTCCCGTCGCATAATTTCCCGTAAATATGTTCAATGCGTAAATATTGTTCAGTTACTTTATAAGCTATATAAGTGACTATGATTATGTATTGATAATTAAAAATTTTTTATTTCAAATTTAATTTTTTATATTTATTTATTTAAGAAAGGTAAAAAAAGATCATTTATAAATTCTAAAAGCTATATAAAAAGCTATATGAAATATTGTCCCCTAACTTTCAAAGATGTCTTTCAACACTACTAATCTCAATTCAATAGGTGGTTCTTTGGACAATTAAATTTAAATGTTATAGGCTGTGTTCGCTTTGGCGCTTACAGCGCTTGTGAGCATCAATTGTCTTTGTTTAATATTTAATAAACAATAAATATGAAACGAAGCGTTGTAAACGCCAAAGTGAACACAGTCATATAATATATATAAAAAACGCAATCTTTTTAAATACAAATTTTTATATAAAATGATCTAGTTGCATAAGTTAATGATCTTTTCTTTTCAGTTGTAGCAATATAATGAGCTTGATTTAAATATGAACTAAGAAATGGAACACATAGAGAAGTGGAATAGATATTAACATGAAAGAATTAAAATTAAAAGCTGATTATTAAAATGTCACAAACACATATAAAATCCTACTGAGCCGAAGGATGATTCATATTTCTGCGAGGACATACAGCGCGACGGCAATAATGTTGCGTATGATGCGTATACGCAATAAAGAAGGAAATTAATCCAGTTCCAAGTATGATCCACTGCACACGCGCTTGACACCCCTGTAATTGATTACAAGAGAACAGGCAATGTGCGTACACATCAGTTGTCACACCCCCAAACGGGCTTGGCGACAACAGGTCAGTTTATCTCCGCACAGCAATAGTAAATAGCGACACGACAATATCGCATCATGAAATTTCATTGACACGCAAGAGATAATAAATTGCTTTATAGCATTCCACACGAACGTATATAACGATATAGTATAAAAAAAGGTAAAAGTATATCGTATGTCATAGACGTGACTAAAATGTATGACTCATATAATGTTAAATTGATTGATTATTATTAATTGATTGCCCAGCAAAAACGAGAATGGATTAAAATGGATTGAAATTTTTTTCTATTTGAACATATTTTAAATAGCGAATACTTTTTTTAATTTAATTAGATTCAATTGGATTCAATTAGATGCAATTGGATTGAAAATTCCTATTCAAAATTTTGGATTGAATAGTATTCACAATGTGTGTGTTGTGCACAGAAAAAGCTAATATTATTTTTAGATTGAAAGGCATAGAGATATGCTCCATGCAATTCCTATAAATGAATAAAAATATATTCAGGATTGAAAAGTATTCATTTTAACATTCGTGAATCAATATTTCTGAAAATCTGAATTTCCATTTCAATTCATTCTCGTTTGCTGGATGTTAAATTGATCACGATACAAACGATTTATATATTGATATCGTTTCTTAATCTCATTTAGAAAATGCGTTGAAATACTTCGTTAATAAATTGAATTAGAATGCATTAACAAGTTTTCATTGTTAAATGGATATATTCGACATTCGTATTCACGCAACTTGTGAATGTCAGTGTTTGAGGATATGCTCTACCGACATTTTCCGTTCACAAATATTGCCTGTTCGAATAGCTTCTTGGACCGACGTTCAAACGAAGGAGATCAAAATTAACTCGGCTGTGTTTGCGCTACATACGCACGTCGTCACGTACCGGATATTAATTCGTATCCTGTCGCTATCAATTTCCCCTAGTGTTTGTCAATTATCAAATTTCTTTACCACAACCGGATCGCGTCGAGTGGCGCTTGTGAAAATATTTGGCGAATCAATTAATTTATTTTGACCTAGAACTCGATCTGGAAAAGTTTTATCCTTGCTAAACCGTAATTAATGTTTCAATTACAATTATAAATAAATATATACAATATATATATCAAATTACATTGTACAAATTATAATTGAAAATATATATCAAATATAAATCGATTATATGTATATAAAAATGGGATAGTTTTACGAATAATTATCTTCGAGATTCAAGTCTAAATGTCTTCGTTCCATTTCGTTCCAGAAATATATTACAAGATTGTCTTTAATAAATGTTTGATGGCAGATGAAATGAATATGGCTCGATAATATTTTAATAGCTTACCCGAATGTCCACCAAATGTCGAAGCACATCACATTTAGCCAGAAGAAGCTTGCCAAAAACGAGAAGTGGATGATGAAAGCTGAAACAGTCGAATAAACAGCTATTACTCATGCATTAAAATACCGATTATGGATCTAGTCTTGAAATAAGGTTTATTTCATTATAAATTTATAAAATATTATTGACAGTTAAAAATCGTAAAAACCTTGAAAATAATATATGTTATTAAATAAAAACTATTTCAATTTCAATTTAAATATTACGTCAAAATCACGACACAAAAATTTGCTAATTTTCATGAAAGGAAAAAAGATAGTTATTCAACTTTCAAATGAACTTTCTGCATCCAGATTTAAATTTTACTCAATATTCATTTCATTGTTTTAATAACTTTATTCCATTTTATTATTATATATAATAATATTATATATAATTATTAGAGAGGGAGAGAACAATTGACATGCGAATATATACGGTAAAATACAATAGTAGATGTATATGCTGTATTTATTGTATTATTATATGCTGTACCAAATGCGATGCAGGCGGAATTCGATATTACGGCCTGATGAATTAGTTGAATTATTACGAGAGATGTGTACGCGATGAACAACGAGCCGACGTATCCGCGCAGCGTGTAGCCATGCATGTTCCAAAGTTCCGGCAGTATGGAATACACCACGAATGTTGCCAATAAAAACGGCAAAGATATTATCAGACCTACGACAGGTATTCTTTTATTTTCTTCCAAGACGTCTTCAGCCTCACGGTCGAAGCAAATAGTTACATCAAATTTTTTATCATTTTGCCAGATCGCAAGGCAGTATGATGTAACGATAAATTCGTTGATATTTGGTTGATATAAAGAGCCATTGCTAAGAAATAAATAATCGTCACTTTGTCTAATTTCAGGTTCAAGCACATAACGTTGATACTGGCACGGATCATGAATAGTCAGAGGAAAAATTTGATCCAACTTTTTACCAATTGGTATCCTTTTCGAATCGTTTATCACATACTCGTATACATCGGGAAAGGGATAATTAGATTGCCCAACAACGCACTCTTCTTTAATAGTATCATTAATTTGTGTTATTTTTAGACGTTTGCCGAAAGGACAACAAAGCGGAATGCATGTAATGTTCTCGCACATCTGGTAAGGAATAATATTTTTCTCATCTTGATAGAACTTTTCAGAAAGCTCGTATAACGTTAAATTGCTTGTGTCTTCAACTTGCGTCAAATTTCCATTGTATAATGTGAAGTTGTTCTCATCATCGGCCTTTGTAGAATTCGCGCCAAGTTCCATTAATATTTGATTGCCGCTCTCGTGATTCTTCACGGATCGCTGTGCGTGAAACGCATATTGCACCGAATCATTATCTTCATGGTTGTCATTTGTGGAGTTAGCGCGAAACTCATACTGCTCGTCATTTTTGGTGAAATTTTTATGTAGATTATATCGTATCAACTTTACATCGTCGTTTGTCGTCGTGAAATTTCTCCAAGACTCGGAAGAGGAGGCGACAAATAAAAGCGTGTAACACCAAAGCGCAAGATTTTGTCGACGCATCGTCGACACGTTGAATTTACTGAACCGTCTTGGTTTTCTCTTCAAACAACTTCGTAGTCAGATATCGAACAACCGCAATGATATCGCAAACTGCGGAAACGAAGATACACGTGATATCGTCAGTCTGTGTAGATTTAGCCGCGACTGCGACGCTTTTGTCCGAAGGACGAACGAGTATCGCAGCAAACGTACAAGTGCATGCCACAAGAAAACGATAAAAAAGAAGGCATCTCGTTAAAACAGGTCCTGTTTCGGCTAAAGATGATAGAACAAGGAAAGACTTCTTAAAAGTGAGTCTTATAGTTTGTTTTTCGGAGAATATGGAGAATGTGTGGCATGACGTTGCATTTGTTTATTTGTTTTTAAGAGCTTTTAGCATTTTCTCAGGTTTAAGACGAGCTTCCGGTTCGCCTCGCGACAACCGAGATAAATTATTACAATTGATGTCTAAGAAAACTTTATTTTACACTTTACTTTTCAATGCGTAGTTCGATTTAAAAAAATATCTTTAAAGATTTTAAGATAATTTCTAAACTAATTAGATGATTGGACTAATTAGATCAATTGAGCTAAACATTATATTTTCAGCATATTATATAAATTTCAAATTTTTAAGTATCGAAATGTTCTATATTAAATCAGTGAAATATACATTCTGTTAGTTGAATGAAAGAAGCAAGTTACATTAAATATAAAGCAAATGTACAAGGCAAGCATAGAAGCAAAATATAGAAAATAACTTTTAGTTGTATAATTAATTATATAATCTAAAAAAAATGAATAAATTAATTTCTTGTATATCACTGAAGCAGAATACTGATTTTCTTATTCGTTGAATAATAAAACAATTTATGCATATACATGTTATAGTGAACTGTAAATATTATAACAAGTTTTTAAATATCGATATTTACAAGAAAAGCACAGATATTGCGAGAGCATTTAGAAAGTTGTCATGTACTCGTGTTAAACAGATATCTTATTAATTCGTAAGATTTCTAAAGCCACGTTCCATCCGGTCTGACGTGGTCTACAGAAGTTATGCTATGTATAACATATGATATGAATACACACACACACACACACACGCGCGCGCGTGTGTGTGTGTATGTGTATAAACAATTCATAAAAAAATTATCATATTTCGAACTGATAACAGTGACGTTTCCTGTAGAAATTAATTCCACCGCTCAATAATTGCAAGTTAACATTAATCTTCTTTATGTATAACACGAATTAATAGAAGTCGCATCATTCTATAGATATACCGATTGTGATGCAGATGTCGTTTGGGATTTGTTCCTGTGGTGTCAGTTGCAACACCCCCAATATGCTGTACGCCATCGCTAGACAGCCGACGTATCCGCGTAATGTCAGACCATGCAGATTCCTCAGCTCGGGCAGTAACCAGTAGATAACATATGTGATGACCAGGAACGGGACGGATGCGAGCATCCCGTAGGAATATATGATCCCGTCGTCGTCTTCGATCGCTTCGTCGCAGAAGAATACCATATATTCCGGATACTCATAACTTTCCACCCGCGCTAGGCAGTACTGATAATAATCGAGGAGACGTTCCTCCGGTTCTTCAGACAGAGGTAGTATTATGGAGCCATTAGACAGTAGGTACCATTCGTCGTCCTTGTATACACGCGGATTCAAAGAATATCGTTTCATACCAACACATGGATTCCATATTATAAAATCAAAATATTTGTCACTTGCAGTGACATTCGCCAATATAAGATCCATTTCGTAGATCACTGGCAATTGTACCGCTTCCGTCCCGTTCATGGTGGCCTCCACGCAATTGTCTCCGTTGAGGAAAGTACCGACACGACAGCATAGCGACATGCGGGGCTTCCCGGAGCTGTCACCATCGATGCCAATCGTTTTCTAGGAGTAAAGAGCCAGAGGAAACGAAGACAAATAATGTTAATTCACGATTGGACATGAACAAAGAAGAACCAAATGCCATTTTTTAGATTTTATTAAAAATATTATATAGTCGATGTTGCGAGTTATGCATAATACAATCAATTAACAAAATTATTTTATTTTTAGATCCACACATGCTACTGTAGAATTTTTCTCATTACTATCTGAATATTACTCAACTTTTTGATGTTGATTCCTTTCTGCGTATTACATCCAATTACAGTTAATAGAGAACATAATTAAGTCCAAGCCACTATGTGAATTAATCAATCAGAGATGAACAAATTACTGTAATTCATTAGCAGATTAATATTTAAGCAACTTCTGATCTATAAATGTATAAATGTTCCACATATTTCATCTAGATTATTTGCATTTACACATTTAATCAAATTAATTCGCAAGTTTTTTTGAAAATCTTGATTAATTACGGCACACAATTAGTAATCGTCTGTGGTCATTATTTCACGAATACTTGAATACTATATTATTTGAAAATTTATTATCAGTCATCATAATCAGCATTAAATGTCGTTAAGGTAAGCAAAGTATTATAATACGCAAAGTATTATAATTAGCAAAGCGACGAATTAATATCTCATCGAAATTCCAAGTACAACATAATATGCAATTGAACTTGGAATTATCTCTACCTCCAGATAAACATGAGGGACGATAAAATTTTCCTTCCATTTTGATTCCTCTGGCTCTTGCTTTACCTGATCGCTTTCGAAAGTGACAGCCGCGATCAAGACCGCGTGAAACGCGATGAACAGGGCTGTTCTCAGATGCCGTTTCATTATGTACTAATTTAATGAGGCTGCTAAACAGCAACTGAATAATTATCGTCACCGCCTCTCAATGTTATCACCGTGCGGAAGCTTACTCACAAAAGTGCCACAAGAAATGAAGCGGAAAAGAGAAAGAGAAAGATAAAAAACACGATGACTCTGAAGAAATACGGTAAGTTTTCTCTCTTTGTCCCATAAAATGATAATAAAATATAGCCAATCATATCTCTTATTACATTAACCTTATTATATCTCGCTGTGTTCAGTGCGTGAATTGTTGAACCAATCGAGTAAAAGTGATAAAGAAGGGTGTGAACTTTAATCAGTGTTTAAGATATCATGTGGTTACAACACATCCTTGGTTACATGAGATATAGTTATTTACAAAAAGCATACTATTCACAGATATATGTTACAAATGGATAAACAGTTACATAAGTAAATATATTACAAATATAATTTGTAACATATTTAAATATTATTCCCATATTACTAATATAATTATATTCTGCATATTAAGATAATAAAATTTTATTCGTTTAATTATTGCTACTTTATAGTTATGATTTTAAGCAAAAAGATTAATGAGATGTTAACTGATAACTAAAATATACAGATTTGCATTTAAATGTATATAGCTCTCATGAAATGTACACCATCTAACCACATAAATATGTAAATGATGATCTCAAAGTATCTACATAAGCGACATATTTGTACGATTAAATTACTTGATAATATTAAAGTTAATATTATAGTACAAACACTCGATTATCCAATATTATTATTAAATAATATCCAATGTTATTTGTTAAATAAGCAACTTGTTTATGTGAAAAATATTTTTACCTGCTATGTTACAAAAATATTTAATTATTGTATACTGCGAATACTATTCTGAGGATCAATAATTCAAATGACTGAAAAGGGATGTATATTTAAATAAGTTATTATCAATTGAGTTGATAATGATGTATTGACTTATGCAATAAAATTTGTCGGAGAGATTGAAATAAACGCGAGCGGTGGTAAAATTATTGCAAGATTTCTTTCTTCTTTCTTCTTAAGCAAATCGAAACATAAAAAATTCATCCGGATTCAAATATAGCACTGTTATCACTAACGATTGCGTTGACTTTCAATTATCTCGATGGATTCGATAAAATTAGCACTATGTTTCCATTTTGCCGCGACTTTTCCTGGCGACGGATGAAGTAGGAGAAGAGCGCACGAGAAATGTGTACACTCGCGCGAGTAACCGGACGAGACTACCAGACAACGAGCCGACTACGTTAGACAAGCAGCCTACCTGCTGCGAAGCCATGTATATAGGGCGGTTCGAAAAAAAAGATTCATTGATAAATCAGTACAGTCTACAGATAGTAGCTTGACCAATCCAGTAGCAACGTAAATTTAGAAGCTTAAACGTTTAGATACTTTACGCTCCGCAATGGAGAACCATTATATTTTCGGCAGGGTTACGAAAACTGAGAATAGATTTACAAATGATTAGACGACGAGCAACAAAAATTTCAATTTGTATCAGATGCTATTTTATATACAGCCGAAAGATTTATCTCAAGAAGCTATTAATTGATAGTACAGGCGTAGAAAAAAATTTTACTTCTTGTGATTCTCACAGCTAATATTTTCTCGATCTTATTACCCTAAAGTAAAATACCCTAAAAGAAAAATAAGTGATTGAAAATCCAAAGATAATATAATTATATTTTACCGTTATTCATGTATTCTTTTATCCCACCCTATAAGCAATGATGCTTGATCAATGTGAAGATATACAACACGCAAAAAACCGGTTTGTACTTATCGTCCGTATCTCACATCGTACTCAGTGGAAGGATCATTAACATTTATTTTACGGGAAATCGAAGCTAATCATGGCTAGATAGGCGCCAATAGATCCTTAGTTCAGATTTCTTAGTTCTGATCCCGACTTTCCTCATTGAAAGGACCTTTTCAATCATATTTTCCTCAAAATAACATGGATTAAATTCAGGAAATGTAGTATATGATTCTTACATCATCACTAATCACAGAGATATCGGAATCGCGCGTGCAGAAAAAAGCATGCTGATTCATACGACTTATGCTTCATATTGATGGTGAATACAATGTTATACTTATTTATACGTAATAAAATATGTACATGTGTTTATTAGTGTAATTATAAAGTAAAGTAACTAATCTCTACAAATCTTATGAATTTGTAATCATCATTTTTATAAATCTATAAAAAATATTTAATATAAAGTCTCCTTCTTTTAAACGTTTATTAAAGAGGAAAAATCTTTTATGTATCTAAATCTACATTTTTTCTTTATACGTATACTTTATGTGTATATCATATTTATATTATATAGTATATATTTTTTTTATTATATATTTTTATTTATTTTCTATATATTTCTTATTTTTAATTTTCTTCTTTTCTGTTTTATCGATTAATATATACGAGTTAATCAACTCATTGATGACTAAGCATCCAACTTCGCGACCATAAATATAAATTCGTGATGTATCTTTTTCGCATTGACAATGATAATTTTATTCATGATAATTATTTTTAAAAGCAGTATGAATAAAAATCTAAATATAAAAAGTTAAAATAGTATAGTAAGAAATTTAAAAATATCTTTTTTTTTATAATATCAAGTTTTATTATTATAATTAATATTCAATGTTAAAAAATTAATATTGAATATTAATATCGATTATTCTCGCTCAAAAATGATCAGACATTTTTTAAAAAGAACTATAATAAATTTACTCGTTAGTTGCTAGCATTAATAATGCTCTCCTGGAAATAATAATTAACTCCATAAGTAGAATGTTAATAATTATTACATTATAGTAATTATTTCATTAACGCATAATGTAATCTATTTTATTATTCGCATTCGTGTAGATTCTCTCGTGAGATAATATTCCCATGATTATCATTTCGACGAAAAAAAATAAGGTAACGCGAAATTAAATGTAGAGAGATTTGTGATTTAAACATTGACATACATTGACTTTGTACGAGATTATCATTTTAATTATTTTTCGCACACAGTAAGATGTGATTATCAGTCTTTCTTACGTTCCATACAAAGTAATAATGTCACATAATAATTTTTCAACTCTACTAAAATCGTAACAAGTTTTCCGTCACGATTACAGAAAAATATTTGCGGACAGTTCAACTTACGAGTGTTGATTGTTAGAAATAACGAATAAGTATTACATAAAGAGGCTGCTTACCTGTGCTGAAGCATAACACGCGTATTGGAGACATGTAAATATAGTTGGCCAAGATCAGGAAGACATAGGCGATAATTAAGCAGATGACATAACACATGAGCGTCTTGCCGTAGAGGTTTCTCAACTCTGGAGTAATTGCGTACACCAAGAAAGTGGCAATGAGGAATGGAATGGACACTATGATGCCCACATGATAATGAAAATCTTTTGCTTCCTCTTCCGACATATAGCAAACCAAGACGCCAATTCGATCGACGGTCATCTTCCAATCAATGCAATAATTCCAGAATGGAGAGATCTTCCCAGTAGTATCTACAAAGCTGCCATTCGCCTGGAGAATAATCTGTTCGTCACTGTCGTCATCGGGATTGAGAGTGTAATATTTCTGACCAGGAGGACAGACGTTATTCTGCACCAAGTAGAAATGGTTCTTCAGATTTTCAATGTGTTGAATCTCCTTGGTCATTTGCTTCCTCGATAGACGTAAATGTGGCATCTCGGTTATCAGCTCCGTATTGTTCCGAGGCATTTTCTGGCATATCTCGGAATTGTTCGATTTATTGCGGAGAACCTCATCATCTCGGCAGCATTTCCTGATACAACTGCGTAATCTGCAAATGCAACCATAAGTGACATTGCCGTCAGTCCAGCGCAGTTCGGCCGGATAGACGATGCCATCGTAGAAAAAGCTGCCGTTTTCCAAAAGTCGCGACGCCGTAACGCCGTCAACGCTGCTCTCCAAGCTGAGGATCACGCTGAACGATGGCGAACAACGCGGATCGTTGATCAGTCCATCAGCAGCATCGCCGATATCGTCGGCTATCAACAGACCACATGCAGCGAGGAGGACCGCCAAATTAAAACTTACGGAGCGGCCACCCATCGCGACAAGGGCGTTGAAGAGCGAAAACTATTGGCCGCAACCCGCGCGATCATCTCGGTGGCTCCGCTTCGCGCTCGGCGCTCGGCGCCCAGCATATCTGCGTCGGAGAATGCGCACCACGACGAAGCGTCGCGACGCTTCGCGCTCATGCACCCACGATTAAAGATTTCTTTGCTTAAGAGACCATTCTCGAAGGATCGTGTCTATAACTACTTATTCCATACTGTTAAGTGGAAAGCGCCGCTTATTACATTTAACCTAGATTAATTGCGTCCATTTTATCTTCTATTTCTTAAATTTCGTACAGAATCTGAGCTCCTTTGACAAAAAGCAAAAAAAAACTTTATTTATAAATATTTCATTGAAATTGTACATATATGTGACTATATATATTCGAAATTTGTTTGGACTTGGAGACTAATGTCCATATTCATAGTCAGGCCTTATAAAGCTTCCTTAAATTAATTATCTTCAGATATCCTACGAATTATTTCATTGACTGAGCATCTAAAGATAAATTTAAGGAAGTCTTAAGTACAAAGTCTGACTATGAATACAGACATAAAATATTTATTCCAGCTTCTGTAATATATGAAACTGTATCACTCATTTGACCGGTCTAACTTTTAACTCTAATAGAATTAGAGCTGAATTTGAATTTATCGTCAAATTTATGAATAGTTTATTCTAGAGTTAATGATAGGGTTAATGATGAAAATTTGATACTTCAAATCCTCCTTAATTTTAAGATTTTTTAATTTTCTTGTCGCCACATTGTTAATCAATATAATTTTAAGAATTACGGCTACTTATAAATTGCGAACGTATGATATAAGTATAAATCGAATATATTTATTCATGGAACACATTCTTTATCTATAGAAGAAACAAAGGAAAAATTATAATTATCCAATAATATCGTATCGAATGTCTATAGTTTACCTCTCGAATTATATCCAAAAATAAAAATCTGATAAAAACATTACGGACTTTTCTTCCTCCAAACAATTCGAATGTGCCATTCTATTTCAATAGCGGTGCCATCTACACACAAAATGTCGAAACTTAATTTGTCCTGTTATCACCAATCGATATATCATCTATGTTGATTTCGACATTGTCAACTGTTGATGTTTTATCAATCTAATTTGGCGTGATTTCATTGTTTTTACACGCCTACCAACAGTTGTCGATGTCGTTGCACCAATTTTTCATCATATAAAATATCTGCGCAACGAAACCGACAACTGTCAGTAGGCGTGTAAAGACAATTATGGAATTATGCCCCTAATCTAATAAATGATTGAATGCTTGAGAATATTAAGATAATCGATAATAATTATCAATGATGATGATGATGATGATGATGATGATGATGATGATGATGATGATGATGATGATGATGATGATGATGATGATGATGATGATGATGATGATGATATAAAAAGTTATGACAGAATTACGACTGGTCATTAGGTTTTGGCGAAGGTAACACGTGTTTTTTCAATGAATAATTAATTTTTATTACACACGTATGCTAAACAATAACAAATTAAAATACAAGGTCTATTATATATTAAATGATAGCAATATGTTAAGGATAAATAAAATATTTCGTTTAGATTTCACCATTTTAATTTGTGATATTTTATTAAAAGCAGAAAGTTAATTGAATTTATGCTGAGGAGGCTAAGTAAAGCTCGAAATGTTCTGTAAAAGTCATCGTAGAATAATAAAATATATGTTTTTGTTTATCGGTCATATTTTAACTCTGCTCGTTTAATATAAATAGATGTAAAAATTACATAATTAGGCCTGTAAATATAAAAAATCATGCAATTTTACAGAAATTATATAATTCCACAAAAATTATGTAAATTTGCTTTTATTGTATAAATATATCTTATTTTATATGGAAAATTACATAAATAGCAGGATATTTTGAATATTTTCTGTAATATATAACAAATTTTTATCCAAATTTTAGTTTTATCCAAATTGTTATCCAAATTTCAGTAATATTATCTATGCAATATATAACAGTGATTTTTCGCGTATTGCTGTTAAATGTATAATAAAATATATAATGCGAAATGTCATATTATCGTTCCTATACACATATATATTGTACTTCCACAAAATCTATTATAATTATAAATCAAGAAATTATTTTTATTTTTATATTGCAAATTTTTACAAACGCGTGGACATTTACAACTATTATTAGGGGAGTCTTAAAATTCTCATTATAATATAATTATAATTTTACGCAGAAATTTTTTACGGCATGCTTGAGATTAGAAAGCCCTAAGGCTCGACCGTTATGATTGGCGGTCGTCGATTTTTAAAAAGTAACGGAAAAATAACGAAAAGTTACTTTCTCAAGTAACGGTAACTTTAACGTTACTTTTAAAAAGTAACTTTCCATTCCCTATAACTTCCTCAACAAAGAAAATTATAGAAAATGATTGTTTGTCATTTTTTACAGCAGTTACATAACAAATGTACTTTCAAAGCAATTATAAATCCGAATTTCCTAATAAGAATATGAGACTGAATGTTTAATTAGAGAGATTCAATTATTTGCACGAGATTTGAGCAATTATGAGCGTAATATCTTATCACAGAAAAACAAAAGTAAATCTGTCATAAATGAGGAGGATCGAAAAACAAGTTTCAACGAACTCGAGTGTGCTCGATCCCCCGCCAACAATTACGCGTGATTACGAGATAGCTTATGAAACTGCATGGTCGATCGCGCGATAAATTTACCACAGTTTCCACTTCCTCCTGCCACGACAGTATTGCGGTAGCACACAGTTGGTTCGCCGTTGCCGTCCGTTGTGTTTATCGTGGCCTACCGATCTCGCCGGTGTCGACAAGGTAATTTTCATTCTTCGCGATCGCATTCTTGCAATGTGCATGATTAGAAGCCTTCGAATAAAAATCTAGCCGATTCAAATCGAATATCATAGAGTTGCGCGTTCAGAAATTTCACATACAGATCTTATTTTATTCTTGTTTAACATGTAAATAACAAGATTAAAACAATAAGTTGCATCCTCTTATTTTAGATGAAGATTTTTAACGCGACCCTGTACTAACTATAATAGATGAATTTAAAGAAAAGGAAATTGTTTCTACTTAAAAAATTGCCTTTATATTGAGTTTTTTAAATTTCTAATTATTATTTTCTCTTTTTTTATTTATTCATTTTTTTATTTATTTGTTTTATTTCATCAGACTTCTTATTGCTTATTGTTTTATTTCATCACACTTCTTATTCTCTGAATGTAAACGGAAGTCTACACTCAGGTGGTAAAACGTTCGTGTTCCATGCACATGTTTATACTCGTGTGATCTTTCTCTTTTCTGCTTTTCTCTGTATGACGCAAGTATGATAATCGGTCATTGCTATTCTGTTAGATTACAGTCTCTGTGTCGCAATTGACGCACACATGCAATCGTCGATAAATGAACGTCACAATACGACATATGACATCACGTGAGAACTCGAGTCTTTATGCATACAAATATTCCGGATGTGCATGCAGGACGAAACGGTTCTGGCGGAAATTTTGTATCGTCCATTATGAAAAGTACAATCTTGACTTTCCGTTTCTTTCTTCCAACTTACAAGTTGATTTTAAAAGTACAAAAACAAAACACAAAACACAAAACTTGTATGTTTTCTTGTATTTAATTTTTCCCTTTTCTTTGTTTATTATTCTTCTAGATGACAAGTGCGAATCAAATAAGAGATATATGGAGAACTGCGGATGCTGTAACATTCGATGTAGATTCCACTGTTATAACCGAGGAAGCTATCGATGAACTAGCTAATTTCTGTGGGAAAGGAAAACAAATCACTGAATTGTACAATTTCCTTATTTTGTCTTTTTTTTTCTTAAAATGACTTCATCTTGATGTCAACTTTGATTTTATTATGATTTTGTACCTGGAATCTTGCACGCAATAAGATGCCAGATTTCACATCTTTCATCGATGCAAAAATATCGAAAATTTTTCAGAACAAAGCGGGCTATGCAAGGTGATATGACATTTCAACAATCTTTATCTATAAGACTGGGAATCATAAATCCAAGTTTAACACAAGTTAAGGAGTTTTTAAATATACATCAGCCATCACTTACCACTGGTATCAAGTAAGATTTTCAAGATAAAGAAATGAATAAATGAAGATTTGTGTACTTTTACAATTTTAACAATTTTTTAAATACATATTTCAGAGAGTTGGTGTCTACTTTACAAGCTCGTGGAAAGCAAGTGTTTCTTGTCTCTGGTGGTTTCCGCTGTCTTATCACACCAGTTGCTGCTAAACTTAACATTCCACCTGAGAATATTTATGCTAATAGATTAAAATTTTATTTCACGGGTATGCATTAGCATATTTATAGCTGTTTTGAATGTACAATATATATTCATACATACAAATGTCATAGGAGAATATGCTGGCTTTGACGAGACTCAACCAACTTCTAAAAGTGGTGGTAAAGGAGAAGTAATACGGCATCTTAAGGAGGAAAAAGGATTCAAGATTGTCGTACATATCGGTGATGGCTCAACAGATTTAGAAGCATCACCGCCAGCGGACGCATTTATAGGTGTGTATAATATTGCTTGAAAAAAATTGTCTCTCGATGTTTCGCAACACTCGTATTTCAAAATAATGGTAGTTGTGCAATAATGATAATCAAGCAGATCATAAATTATGATCTGTTTAATTATCATTAACAGATGTATTTTTGTTCTAGGATTTGGAGGAAATGTAATTAGGGAAAATGTAAAATCACGCGCGCAATGGTTTATTACAAACTTTGATGATCTCGCGAAATGTTTATAGATGCAAAATATTTTTCTAAAAATGATATAAGAATTAAATTTTTTTTATATTAGTCAAAATAAAAAATTACATTATTCACGAAAAAAGACAATTGTGATCGATCAAACAATATTTTTATAAAAATGATATAAGAATTAAATTATAGGAATTAATGCAGTTTTAATAATTGTAGGCAATATTCATAAATGTTCATAAATAACACATTTTATTCTACACAGTACATGAAATATACAATTACGTTTTTTTAATGCAGTGATTTTTAAAATCATCTGTGGCATCTATGTATATGAATAATATTTTATATCAACCAGTAATTATTGATATTACACTGTCATAACTCTAAACTTGTTTATAACCCTGTACATAATTACATTGCAAATGTATACAAAATTGCTTTTTTTACTTGCCTATTTTTATTGTGGACAAATCGAATGTCGGCGAGTAGTAAAATCCCGAACACACGATAAAACACGATAATATATATGAAATATGAATGTATTTTTCGTTTCACGGATTCGCTAATTGCCATGAATCTGAACTTTAGCAACTGTAAGATTATCATCGATGTATTTCATATGATCTACAATTTGCCTTAGAAACTGTATAAATTTTAATATTGTTCTATCGTGATGCAATTGACGATAAATTATGTATTAGCCTTTGATGCTTTCTCCAGTTTTTTCTGTGAAATCCAATCTTGTATCTTCTGTTGAAGTTCAACATTTGATTTTACCATATCCATTGTAAGTGGAGATCGATTAAAAGGATCAGTTTGATCACTTAGCAAATGCCTGAAAAATATATTTAATAAAATATATATAAATTTTGTATCATGATATATGTACGAATTAAAAAATATTTAATTTATAAGTATATAATATATTTATGTATTAATATACTTATTAATATTTGTGTATTAATATAATTGTGTACTAATATACCTTGCTATAGTCTGACGATCAATAGTTATTTTCGACGATGGCAAAATAACAGGATCTGCCATGACAGTTGACATAATTGGATCTAAGAATTCATCGGGAACACCTGTCAAAATCTCATCTTCCTCTCGCTTTTGATTTGCAGCCTCTTCCACGCTTTTTGCAAATTGATCCAAATCTCCCAAGATTCCCACACCACCGATACGAACTGTGATATGCACACGACTTTTTAGATTCTTCTGGTCTAAATAAAGTGCTTCTTAGAAAAAAATATATAGAAAAACTTACCGAGAACATTATCTGCAAGTTTAAATAATTCTGGACTATAAGAACGACCATCTTGAGATACGGCAAGTGTAAAGCTTTCACTTTTACTCAGATTAATGTAAATTTCACATATATTTAACACTAAATTTGCAGGATTGAATGCGTATTCTTTTTGATCGTTCACCTAAAAATAAAGATTTCATAGATATATTTCATAGAAATTATAATTGTTTCTACTGTAACATTTACAGATTCTAAAAATTACCTTAAGATTTTTTTTATTCGGTCCTACTAACTGCAGTAATAAGTAATTGAGCATAGAAGCAATACGATCCACCATCGTTGGATGGCAAAATATTGATTTTATTTCGGTAGTCAACATTTTTATCGTTTGTATAGTTTTCCTACCCAGAATATTATCAAAGCGAGCAATCATACCAATATGCTGAAGATACGCTGTCTGTTGTTCGCGTTCATTTGGTGGCAATTTATTCCATTCTCCGCTTTCTCTTTTGTTCAAAAACAAAAAATAATATTTAATGCAATGTATTACAAAATATTTAATTTAAGAAATATGATACACATACACAGATACAATAGAAAATAATAATCTTATACAATGTGTGAAAGAAAGATATACATATTTTTTAAAATACCTAGCCTGAAGCATTTGTCGCAACTGTGCCATATTCGATAAGGCTTCGTCCAGGAGGAATACAGCATCATTCATTAATAAATTAATAAAACGTAGAAACAAAGGTGGTTGGACAGCTTCCATATTGCTCTCAGCTTCTTGAGCTAAAGTACTGATACATCATATTATATGAAAGCTTTATTTATCAGGTATCGAATTTTTAAATACCAAACAAAGATAATGATTAAATATAATTTGCCTTACATAAAATTATTACGATGCTCGGCAAGTTTCCATAAATAGTCCATAACAATGTACATTGGACGACGATAATTGAATTTTTGTTCAAACTGTACACTTTGCCCAGTCATCTCAATACTTACAAACACATGCAGTAAGTTGACAATTATCTGTAAATAGAATAGCACGCGAGAGAAAATCAGCTATATGCATGATCAGCTATATGAATTTCTTGCTAAAGAAGAACTTTATTCACCTGCTGTCTGTGTGGATGAATAAGAAACAATTGTTCCCTATGGAATGTTCCTAAGTTTGGAGTCCCGGGAGCAACATTTTCGTCTACAATTGGTAAAAGCGCCTCCAGACTTTCGGCTAAACGGGCGCGTAGATGCGGATTGTAAAGACGATGCTGAGACTCCATCAAAACTATAATCTAATAAAGGAAACAATATATAACTTTAACAATCACGAGAATACATTTCGTTCTACCTTGACTTACTTCCGTCAAGATCGGATTCAGAAAACTCGCACCCTGTTCCTCGAACGTGTTTGGACATAAACGACGTAAAAAACACAAGAATCCAATGGTATTCTCTACTACGAACTCAGGAATGCATCTATAGATACATGCTTATTAATTTCATTAGTAATTATTATTATTTGACATATATATATATATACAACATACCTTAATGTAATTGGAACAGTTTCTGATAACGGGAATGTAACAGGTGTATAATGTGTTGGTACGAAACTTTGTTTATTCCCTTCTTCGGTTATAACATATAAATTGACTTGTATTAACCAAAACGCCGTCATTGCATGAAATTTCGACAAATGACACAACATTTCCGGTACTAATAGACTCGCTTTAAGAGATAGATACCTAAAAAAAAATATATATGTATAGAGTGTTCAAAAAAGATTGGGATCCCGGATTTTCTCGAAAGACGTCTTTCAAAAAAATACTTCAAACAAAAGTTATAGGGTTTAAAAAGATCTATTTATTGATTATACCAGTGACCTAGGAAGGCTTAAAAATTATGGTATTTATAAATTTGACGTAAAAATGAATTCTTGTGCAAAAATGAAAATAAGAGAAACAATTTCCAATGGCCTTGATCTTGACAATGTTGCAGATCATGATGTTAAACAATTTAAGAGATTTTAGTTGTCGGACACCTTGAGTAATGCTAATGCCGGCAGTACCATAACTTTCAAGCCTCATAATTCGAAAAGTACTTGATAAAAAATAATTAAATTATAGTGTTTTCAAAAACTCTTGATATCAGCTACTAGATTTTGGAATCAAAAGTAGAATGTTTTACTTAAAAAAATTAATGCGACCTTGACCTGACCTTGGCGACGCCACTCTAGGTCAGACTGATATAATCAGTAAATAGATCTTTTTAAACTCTACAACTTTTGTTTGAAACATTTTTTTGAAAAGCGCCTTCCGAGAAAATCCGGAGTCTCGGCCTTTTTTGAATACTATGTGTTGTGTGTGTGTTGTGTGTGTGTGTGTGTGTGTGTATGTGTGCGTGCGTGTGTGTGTGTGTGTAAAATTATAAAAATATAAAGAGAATTAAAAATGTGCATTAATATTCTTTATACTTTATCATCTCAGCTTCCATTCGTTGTGATATGAGTTCTAGCACCTCTGAACTGCCACCAGTTCGAGCATCGTTGTAAGCTCTTTGTATCCTAGCCAAATCTTGATTTGCTCTGTAGAATTAAAAATGATAATGTTTAAACATGAGAGAGAATAGATATATATTTAAAAATTATAGAATCAATTATTTGTTTACTTTAAAAATTTGTCCAGGATAACTCTGTAACCAAGATCTAATGCACGATGTGTAAGGAAAAAGCACTCTGTTATAAATCCGAACGAATCTGACATTGGTCGACTTTCATCCTCTGGAGTTGGTATTAAACATGTTTCTGAATTTAATCCTTTCATATGTATACCACGTTGCAGACTCTCAGTTTCATTATTTGCCTAAAAAATGCGACCAGAAGGATAACTGTATGTGAGAACTGTGAGAGCGATTGATTTATGATTAATAAATCTCAGATTCGATACCAATATCAGTATAATCGTGTATCAGAGAATCAAAATTTGTGTAAAAGGAATATAAGGTGAATTGCTAAAATAAATTAGAACTTATTTGTTTATTACATATATTAATAAGTATGTATCAGTATGTATCAGTTTTATTATTTATAAAGTATTCAGACTTAGACACATTTAAACTAACATTTGAAACACTAAGGCTACTTTCTTTTTAGAAATCGACATAATCGTCGTTTTATACTTTTTGACATTTCAATAAATAATAAAGATAAAACAACACTTGTGCTGATTGTCTCTCAAAAGAAAAATAGAATATAAGTGATATTGAATATAAGTATTGTATCATATTTTTTAAAATCTTGGAAAACCAACCTCTGCACTACAGTATGTAGGATCTATCTTCGGTACTTTAGCATCATTCAATTTAGCACAAAATGGTTGACAAAGTCGTAACAGTACATTGCCCACATTCAGCATAAAACCATCCGACACGCACAGTACCCCTAGTAATCCCATCTCCATATGAGAGTTCCAAAGTTTTCCTCTATTTGCATTCGCGTGGAGGCAATTACCCAACCATTGCAAAGTCAAGTGACGAACGTTCGTCGAACATCTCAACAAGGAATGAAAAACCTTGTGTAGAGCTTCACTTAAACTGTCCATCGTTGTCCATACTGTACCCTCCATGACCGTATTTGACTGTGACATTTGGATAATATAAAACAATAATCGCATAGCTTAAAAAACTATTTGACTAAAAAAAAAAAAAAATCGCCGTACTTGCTGTAAAGGTTTATCGAAGAGATTATATGGATCTTTAGGTGTTTTTGGTAAACAGCTTATGTTGAAGAGTGCACCCAATAATGTGTCGGAATATGCACAACCCTGATTATTTTTTGGTGTGCTATGATGAATTATCAATTTTGCCAATGGATCAATAGTAGAAAATGCATTCAATAGAGCAAACCACTGTTGGCGAAAAGTAAACAGATTGCTCTGAGCTGCTTCCTTATGAATAATATCAAGAACAGGAGAAAATGATTTTGTAATTATGTCTTCTACATCGCTTTCTTTATTTGTGACTATCAATTCTTCTACTATGCCATTAATAAATAATAACAATTCTGACTTGCACATAGCATCATTCGTAAACAAAGCAACAAATTGGCTGTGAACCTGCAATAATTAAAATGTACGAGAATTAATAACAGTATATTGTCAATATATACTTTATTAATTTAACATAAATTGATCTTAGACCTATTTCTAAGATTAACTTTAATCTGTGTTTAATTTACTTTTTATCTTCTTTAATTTTAAAAATTAGAAAAAGATGTAGAGTACATTAAACCAAGTGCGACTAAAGTTCATCTACAATAATAAAAATAAACAATATTAATAAATATAAATTATATTAATTGAAATTATTGTAGTGTCAATCTTTAAAGGAAATAAAAAGGCCAATATAGTGACTGAAATAATGTCATATTTTGAAGCAAGGAACATAATAAATCATAATTAATAATTCAAAGACAGCATATACAATGATGATTTCACCTTTATTTAACAATGAAAAACAACAATTCACTATGTTATACTGTCAGCTGTGTCTTTTGCTGAAAAGGACTTAATCTTACTTAACTAAGTTTTTTATAATGAGTCGATAATTGATAATCAGAAGTCTTAACTCAGTCTTATTGTTAGCTCAATTGTACAAGTTGACTATTGGCCAATTTCACATTAAGACTTAGGATTGTTTAGGACTTTCAACTATCGACTCATTATAGAAAAAGTTGTAAGATTTAAATATAAGGTTTAAAAAATAGACTCCCTCATTCTCTAAAGATTAAAAAAAAATATAATACCTCTTGATTCTGAAACAAATCTGGTTCTTGTAAAGCTGTGTTGGCATTTTGCAGTACAATTTGACAAGCATTTCTTATAATTTTTTCGAGATCACTGTTTATTTGATAGTGCTTTAAACGACAATAGCATTCATACAGGTAAGTTATAACCTGTGTTTCAACAACATGACTATCCACATCCTGCGTTTTAGGTTTAGGATTTGGCAACATCAGACGCTCGAAAACGGCATGTTCTATCGAGTCAGCGTCAATATACACCAGAGAGCTTTGCGCACAACTATTGTTATCTCGACGTAACGTTAAACCGAACACATGTGCCACAAGTTGATCGACTTTGTCATCAAAATTCGTAGATTTCGCATTCTCAGATTTGTCTTTAATCGCGTCCAACGATTGTTCCACGTAATCTGCATCATTGGCTTCATTGCCAATCGTATGCTGCGAAGAGAATGATACAGCATCATTATCTGTAGAAAATAATCCGGCAAATGGGTTGCCTCGTATATTGTCGCACATGTTGTAGCGTTTTTTTACAGCGAGGTTTCCGTAGTGGACATAATTAAACTGCGAGCGAATCAATGTGAATCAACATTCCCTGTCATTCTGTCATTTGGCTTCAATGTGCCAAAACATCTACTTCTCACCATGTCACACAATCAACACGAACCTCAATAATACTCACTAGTAGTCACTAGTACTGCTTGATCATCGTTCAATTGTGCTCAATATGAAATATTCGAGGAATGCGGATTGCAGAGTGCAACAAAGTGCAGTTAATGCAGCTGCGAAATCATAGCAATAGGTTTGTTCATATTGAATGAAATCCTCAAATATTTTTGCACTTAAAATGAGATAGATATATTTTGCCTTGAAAAGAGAGAAAGCGGAGATGATCTCATGGTGGAAGAATTCCTTGGGCTGGATTGTGTTCAGAATCGTTGTCCGGATGCACCCAGATATCATTTTATCCTTGTTGTTTACGAATGTTAAACAAGGACAAAGCCTTAACACAATGCGAAGAAATAGCGATAACGATAGGAATAACACGATTTCAACTTGTCAGAAATTAGATACACTGGAATATACACTTTCTGATAGGTTGAAATCGTATTATTCCTATCGCTAACGCTATTCCTCGCATTGTGTTTAAGGCTTAAAAGAAAGGCTGAAAGCGCTCAGATGATAATCTGAACGCAGACCTGCGTTCTATTTAAGAGTACCGTTCCATGTACACGCAGAAATAGTGTTTTCTGGCGTTCGACAGACATTACACACTCGTATTGAAGCGCACGCATACATATTACTGGAATTATTGGAAATAGTGGAAACGCGGAGGAGGCGAGGAGCGCGAAGGGAGAAAGTAATAGGGCGCTCCGATATTCTATCCTTAGCGCAAGGCGTACGAGAGAGAAAGCGTAATTAAATACGTGATGTCGGCTCGCAGTGTCCTTTTCCTGACATTGTCTTACACATTGTCTTACACATTTGTTACTAGTATGAGTGAAATACCTTGGTATCTCTCGCTCGCCAATATTCATACTTTTCAATAATACTTTTATTATGCACAAAATGTTGTAATTATGCAAAAATATTTAATGCTGTAAAAAAATTTCTGCATAATTATAATATTACGTGTAATTTTAAGACTCATTGTAATAGCTTTGCATGCATTTATAAATTTGCAGTGTGCAAATAAAATGAATATTTTGTATCGCAAGATCGCAAAATTAAATTTACAGTTAAATATAAGAACATATAATAAAATAAATAAAAAAAAATATGATGTATATTTTTTATATACTTTTTTATATACTTATTTTTTAAAATTTATTTTATTATATGTTTTTATAGTAACAAATGTGTATCAGAAAAGATAAGAAAAAGACATCGCTGACATCACGCCCAATTATGTTTTCTCTCTTAATCATGAGAATCACTTTCTCCCTTCAAGCTCCTCGCCTCCTCAGGATTTATAATAATTCCAGTAACATATATGTGCGTATATGTGCGTTTCGATACAAGTAACGTCGCGCGCCGAACATCATTCCTGCCGGTGCATTAAATCACTAGAGCTATAAAGTACCGTAAATTCGCATCCATTTTCATGCGAAACGCAGTCATTTCGAATTTATGCATTTGTATTACGTGCTTTATTTGGGAAAATGAAGCTGTCAAGTATGTAAATTAATATTTTTTAGTTGTAATTAGTTTATTTACGAACAAAAAAATATGTACAAATGCTCACTTTATGTGTTCTTTAGTTTAATACAGATTTATTTGTCGTAGAAGTGCATAAAAGTGTACGTAGGATATGTGTAAGTACACTTCAGGAATACGAAAGTACACATCACATGTGTTAGGCTGCACCCAATTAACCCAATATGGACCCTAGTGTACTTCAAATCGTGTACTATGTGCACTTCGGCCATTTTTACGCGACATTTCTGTAATCAATTACGATACTTCATAATCTAGTGACTTTACAGTGTGTGCATACGGAATCGGAATGACGAAGCGGATTTCTTACTAGAAATGAGTTCATTAGCATTCCGTTCCATAAAGCCGGTTCTATATTAGTTGCAAGCCGATCGCAAATTTGTTGTGACAGCCAATATGAAGCGTTGATTTCAAAATGCAAGCTTCAGATTAGCTGTCGCAACGAACTTTCTCTACTGTATCAGAACCACCGAAATCATGGCCGAAACAAATAGAAACATATAAAAACGATACAGAATCAATGAAATGTCGATTGCAGGCTATGTCGATCCGGCTATTATTAATGGTTAAGAATTTGACAACTTCGAAGAAAAAAATTAATAATAATTCTTATTTTTCAATACAACATATTCTTGTTTTATATATACATAGTCCAACTATTAAAGGAATTCTTTAAATAATTCCGATGTCATTCTAAAGTAATTGAAGAACTTTTCACGATTGGTCGTTTGCATTTTAAGAACTTAATTATCACTTGCGCCTTGGAAACGCCTCATTCTTTGTGTAAACATTGACTGTGTTCAGAATTTTCGTTTTCTTGTATATTTCCGCTGTTGCAATAAAACGTTATAAGCGAAATAAAATTTTCGCACACTCTTAAATGTCGGAATAGCACGCCAACTTGACACATTCTTGCCTTTCGCAATAATTTTAACATTAATAATAACACTTCTTCTTCATCCATCATTATAGATTTACAAAAAAAGTTTCTGAATATTCGTTTCAATTTTTAGATTCAATCATTTAGCTGAAAATGCTATTCCGTTTCGTAAAAATTTTCTCTATCCGTCCCATGCAGCCAGAACGCAATGAAATTTTGGTAACAAAATATATCTCACTCTTATAATTCAGTATTTTTGAGTATTCAAAGTAATGTTATAGATAAGATAATTGCACAAATTATGCATATTATTGCTTTAGTCGCATTAAACTAACAAAATATCAATTAAATTAAGCAAATTAGCTTGCGATTGAGACGACATTCCGTCTGTTTCCATTCCGTTCCAATTACATGGGATGGGTAGAGAAATTTCTTAAGGAATAAAATTGTAGTGAACTCAATTTTTTAAGAAATCCGTCCCACCGTTCCGATTCCGTATACATGGGACGGCACCCTAACGCTCGCAACATTCGCAAGCATTGTTTGTCCTTGTTTAATATCTGATAAACAACAAGGATGAAATGATTTCACGAGCGTGAATGTAAATAGAACGCAGCCAGAGTTTGCAAACGTCTCTCTCTAAAATTAGCGCTCTTTGTCGTTTCTCTGTTTCTTGTTCCTCAAGGCCTATAATTGTGAAACGTGAAATATGGGACGGTATTCATAGTTCGTTTTTATTAAAAAATCGTCTTAAATATAATGTTTAAGATACTAATACAATCCTCGAAGACTTACGACATCTTAAGATTGACTTAAATCGATTGAAAATGGCATGCGTGTCCGAAATATATGTTTGCTCTTAATTGGTAATACGAATGTATGTACGTTCTCGACTGATACTACCATTGTGTGTGCACGCCAATCACAAAAGAGGATGGAGACATGGCCAGATTGATAGTTTTAGGGACTCTAATCATAATTACTGATAGCAGACAAATTGAATATTTCTGATTTATTTATGTTTATATAATTTGGGAATCGTTTGGGGAAATTTGGAAAAAGCATTTAAATATTTGGGTAATATTTGGGTAGTATTTTTCTTGTTATTAACAAATTTTATCATGCACATCACATTTGCAGACTTTATTTAAGATTTAAGACTTTATTTGCAGATTTTATTTAATGTGTTTTAGAGAGCGTTTATATTGATCATATACCGTAATCTGTAAGGATTGACTAATCACAGTCAAGTATTCCCCTCTCAGCGATAAGAAAAGAATATTTGAAAGTGATTGGCCAATTTTTACAGATTACGGCTTACGGCATACGGTTACGGCCAATATAAACGTTTCCCTTATGAATAGAATCGATTAGAAATCATTTGGAGAATACGTCTTCATTATTATTTTCATTTGAGAAAAGTCACTATTTGGCAATTTAATAGATTTACACATTACAAAAACGAATAAAGCCCGGGTGTAGTAAGTATAGTACAATAAATATAACATATAATATTAATAAACCTGAAATCGTCAAAAATTAACCAATTAATCAATTAACTCGGATCTAATTATGCGTAGTAAGAAATTATACAGAGTGTCTCTTAAGATGGGTTGAGGCCACATTGGAGGCGAAGAATGGATCAAAGGGAACAAAAAATTATATCATTTTGAGATACTCGCTGTAGTTTTCGAATTAGAAAAGAAAACGTCTAAGTCAATATGCGATTAAGCCGTGCCGCGCAAATTCGTAGGACGGCCCACACTCGAGCAGCGGCGGCGACATGCAGGGAAGGGGAAGAATGTTTCATCGCCTGGCACAGCTTGGCATGGCGATCCTATGTGTTTCGCCGCATCGCGCCTACACTATATACCAAAAATCTTATTTTCACTGAAGTTTTCCTTACATATTTTTTATCATTATAAATCATATTATTTAGCATGTTAAATTTAGCATGTTAAACGTTTTAACACAATTATAGATATGTTAAGCGATGTAATTAATTAGAATCTTACGCAAAGCGTATGCTGATCGTCCTTTTATTTTTTGACATGTTAATACACTTAAAATTATAGTATAAGTTCGCGTAGACAGTCGCTACATTGGAAATCCATATATATTAGAAGCTCCACACAATAAAAGGAACAGAAAACAGAGAACAAGGAATAAGAATTTTAAACTATCAAAAATCATGCATTATGGAATATACAGTTTCTGATAAGTTGAAATTCTTATTCTCTGTTCTTTATTCCCTGTTCCTTTTATTATGCGGAGCCCCTTATTTTTTCATGTATAATGGCGCATTTGATTGAGATTCTTTTTCACATATTTTTTGCCGTTTAACAAGTTTAATTGTAACCTTTAGAAACGTTCTGAAATTTTATTAATCTTTAATGTTCATTGATGAATAAAATTTAAATTTTCTGTAACTGAAAAGATTATTTATGTACGTTAATGAGATGTTTAAGTTTGCATTAAAAATAAAACTCCGACAAAATAGCATAAAACGACGCGATAGGTCTGACAAAGTATGTCTCGAAGCGTAATTAAATAGAAACATCGTATAATAAAGCAAGCGGAAAGGTATCGCGACTATCAGCATATGCTTTGCGTAGTGCTTTAATTAATTACATCGCTTAACATATATACTATACCATACATATATTATAACATATATATATATATATATTTTTTTTTATATATATATACATACCTATAATTGTGTTAAAACGTATTTAACGTGCTAACAAAAATTAAATAAAATAACATAATTTATAATGATAAGAATTGTATAAGGAAAACTTCAGCTAAAATAACATTTTTGGATAGTGTAGTTAGTTGGACAGTATAACCAGTAGAAACACTCAACAAAAAAATGCGTGTTCACGTAGGTGTGGCTGCTTTTGTTTTAGGCCGGATCCAATGAAATGCAAACTGACAAGAATGTACATTACACAGATCCCGTATGAGCAGATATCCGCCAGTGGCAAAAGAAGACAATTTAAGAGCTGCGTCATAATGCGCTATTTCTAAAAAATGGATAAAAAAAAGAAAAGTTATGTTATGTGCAGTATTAAACAATGCAGTAATAATAGTAAAAATTCACAATGCACTTTTTTTCATTATCCCAAAGATATCGTAAGATAAGTTTTATAATTTACAAAAAGTAAGTAGTTTTTTGCTAGGTTAACTTAATTAAACAATCAAATGTAATTTTGTGAAAAAGGATAATATTTTTACATTGACTACGTTTACACGCATCCTTAATTATGTTTTTTAGAACAAAGCAATGGACTATCGCATTATATCCTCTTTCAGTCCTGAATTTTTCAAACGTTAACATGGCGGATGCTCACGTGACTGTGACACGGAAATCAAAGGTGTCGATACAGAGTGTCCCTAATGGTAATACTGTGGTGTAGACGCGATGCGGCGAAACACATATAACTGCCATGTCACGTTGTACCAGGCGACGAAGCACTCCTTCCCCTTCGCCGCTCGAGTGTGGGCCGTCCTACGAATTCGCGTGGCGCAATATTGGCTTAGACGTTTCTTTTTCTAATTCAAAAACTACAGCGAGTATCTCAAAATGATATGAGAATTTTTTGATCCTTTTAATCCATTCCCCAATGTGGCCCCAACCCATCTTAAGAGACACTCCGTATATAATAAAAAATCAATTTAATCATAAACTTAATTATATTCGATTAATTTTCTTCACATTTAACTGTGATTGGTCAATTCTGTATGGCTTAAGACTTTCTATATTTATTTACCATCTGAGTGAAGTTTACGAACGCAGTCTAACATTGGAGTATTCGAAGTAAACTTTTAACAAAAATATAAAATTAAGAAGAAAATTTGTTAGTATGTATTATTTTCTTTAATTTATAAATATTATTATTATTTTAATACATTTCAAAAAGAAAAATTTTTATATTTACTCTTTATTTTTGTTATTTTCCAGTAAAGCCAAAATGATTTTATATATACTCACTGAGCGCTTGGTTCGTACTTATGGATCCATAGATAAAAATCAATCGGTGAGTAGACTGCATTCCGAAAATCATAGAAAAAAATCTGTTTCAATCTTTTAGGGTGCGGTCCACTTAACGTTATGAAACAAATGCTTTGAAACTTTTGATTGATCAATCGGAAGAAAAAATTTTATTAACTGACCAATTAAAAAATGCTTCGAAACATTTGTAGCATCAAGTGGACCGTAATTTAGTTGGCGAGTGTACATGCATATAATATATGTATATATCAAGAAATATTATATACTACATCTATTACATCCATTATACTCAGGCTTTGTTTTCATAATGTGTAAATCTATTAAATTATCAAATAGTGACTTTTTCCAAATAAAAATAATAAAGACGTCTTCCCCAAATGATTTCTAATCGATTCTATTCATAAAACACATTAAATAAAATCGTTATCTTTTAACTTGACGTATGATAAAATTTGTTAATAACAAGAAAAATACTATTTCCCAATTGTTTAAATGCTTTCCCCAAATTTCTCCAAATAATTCCCAAATTATATAGAGACCAACGTTATGCTACAAATGCTTTAAAACAATTTTTGATTAGTCATCAATTTGTAAAATTCCTTTTTCTAATTAATTAACCAAACGCTTCAAAGCATTTGTAGTGAGACTTTGACCGCAGCCAAAGACATAAAACAATCAGAAATATTTAATATATCTGCTATCTAGTTACACCATGTAATTCTTCCACCATGGATGATCTTATACATCTGTTCGCGTTGCTTGCACTTTTGGCACTCGACATTTTCGCTTTCTTTCTTTTCAAGGCAAAATATGTATCTATTTCATTTTAATTACAAAAATATTTGGGAATTTAATGCAACGCGAATAGACCTATTGATATTGCACTCCTTGCACTCAGCACCTTTGCTCTCTCTCTCTTTCTCTCTCTCTTTCCAATTATTAGCAAATATATTTAGGATATTGATTAATTTATTAATGTAATTAATCATTTAAAAAAGTAAATTTGCTTGTTGTTTGCCTTATTTTTACGTATTTCTTCGCATATTACGAGCCATATTAATATTTACTTTTTTTTAAATCTGAATTATTGATAAGTGATCTATTTTCTGTTCTGCACTAAACTGCTCTAGAATTTTCTTTCTCACTTTCGACAAATAACATAATAATTAAACGTATAACTATCTTACTTTAAGTTCTAAAAATGTACACTAGTTCAATTACAGAAAACAGATTTCTTGCAGCAAATATGATTAGTTTTTATTTTTGGTTTTGGCCAATCACATTTGTCAGTAAGCGATTGTGGTATTGAATACGTCGTTAACCAATAGAAAACCGTATTTCCTAGAAATTTTTTATACTTCAACTCGTACTTTAATCTTTCTTTTCGCTTGGCAGCAATTGCGAATCAATTGGTTTCTAGAATTTTAGGTTATGTTGAATTAGAATTAGGTTATGTTACGTTCTATAGTACGGGATTAATGCTTATGTTTTTACATACTATAAATTATAAAATAATACAGTTCCAAGTGCACGTAAACATGTTGTTGTTAAAACGTGGATGTGAGGTGAACTTTACACAAAGTTTGCCGAAAACGCTGAAATTTCTCGCAATGTATTCAAGCGCCTCGGAATTAAATGAACGGGAACGTTGGTATTGGTTATGTATTCCAATTTGTCGTGTTAGAAACGAAAGATAAGTATACTTGTCTCTATTTTCAGAATTTCGAGTACTGGAACTTTATCCGCGAAAAAAGAATTTCACGCAGGCGAAGCAAAAAGTAGAACGTATAAATATCCCACCACCTAGAACAAAGGAGATGCCTGTCGACCAGGACTGGCCGTCGGTCTGGCCAGGTGCGCGAACCTTTCATCCTGCTTCGGTACCTCTTCCGTTGCGCCAAGGGTACCAAGAAAAGGGCGTAACACCCAGTAAATACGCCAATACCGAACTAATGAAAATACCAAATTTCTTACATCTTACACCACCGGCGATACGGAGGCATTGTGAAGCGTTAAAACAGTTCTGTACAGAGTGGCCTATCGGTTTGGAAACAGAGGAGAAATGCATGAAACATTTCCCCGTCGAGATCATTACATCCGATTATTGCTACTCTTCACCCACCATAAGAGATCCACTTGCTAGGATTGTAAGTCTACGAATAAGGATGTCTTCCCTTCATTTAGATACTCATGCCAAAGATAAGCTGCTGCGATTATTGGGAAACAAGTACAATCCAGACACAGATATGATAACAATTACAGCTGATAGATGTCCAACCAAAAAGCAAAACTTAGAATATGTACGGTATCTACTTACAGCAGTTTATCACGAATCTTGGGTAAGTAATAGCTGAACTGTATAAGTACATCAAATTACTTCCATTATATGTAATTTACAAATTTAGCGAGTAAAAGTACTCAAGAGTAAAGTTTGAGACAATTGAAAAACAGGTAATGGGAACAAATTACAAATTTCAACTCGTCGGACATCATATATTCTGATATAAATGGTTTCTGATAGGTTGAAATCTATTATTTCCTATTCCTATTACTAGTATTTTTGAATTGTGTCTTAAGCTTAACTTGGAATCTTATTTACAGAGGATAGAATCATGGGAAGCTGAGAAATCAGAGGCAGACATGGAGTATTATGATTGGGACACCAGCCCGAGTCGTACACACTTAGTAACGCTGTACAAATGGCCGGAACCACCGACGGATTACGATTACGAGACCATTCCGCACGCAACGGAATACAAAATTGCCGTTTCAGATCTTATAAACAATGGCGAAGATCAGTACTCGGTCAATAAGTACAAGGAAGCTGTTAAAAATTTGTTAAACCTCAAGTGCGATAATAAAGGTTGAATTTTGAGTAAAATTGAACTATATCACGAAAAGCTAAATTAATTTTAACTAGCATTATCTATTTCTCCATAATTTCCGTAAGCGGTGTCTTATTTGAAAGATCAATTTGCTGTGTATAATTTTACGCTCGTTACCTATCAAGACTAAAGTCAACAAGCAAGATTGAAATTGCGCTATTCATAACAATACTCGAATTTACTATAATTTGAATGCGAACAACTAGAGCGTACAAAGAGTCAACCAGAAACGCTCGTTGTTATTTCTTTCTCGATATTTATATATTCGTCGAACACAATCGAGTCTTCATATTTTCGAAATGTGAAACAGATTTTAACAATATCACGAACATTAGCGATTGTTTTTTTTTTGCGCTTTATAACGATATAGTATCATTCTTAATTTATTGAGGATCTTGTCCCATGTATAGTAACACGCATAATATAAAAAGTAACAAAAGTTTAAATAGCCACCTGATAAAATGTTGAAGATTACATTGCTTCTTAGTGCGTTCGATATTATTCGATGTGAGATGCAGACAACAAGATTAGAAAGGACTGTAACCGAAGCACCGTCTTGTAGTAATCCGCCCCAGTGTTATTTACCGGATACGTACAAGACCGAGCTGAAGAGCATATCGTTTCTACCTTATCTGAATTCTCCGAAAATACGCAAACAACAATCTATTCAACGCAGTTATTATGGTGGGTTCAGCTCATCCGCACCGGCTTACTACCAGTAAGTTCTTCTTGAAAAAATCATATTAAATCCTCTTCTCTCGTTGCAAAGATAGTTTGTCGATAGTAAAGTGTATTTTAGCGCTTTCGATCCCATCAGCGTATTAGCGTCATTGGCGTTCTTGGCATTTTTATTGCAATCATTTGCCACGCTTTTTGAACGTTCGAGATCGATCTTACCGACGATAATTAGTGGCAGACAGTCGACCATTGACTTGAGAGTTCCAGAGATTCCAAAACATGTGTCACATGCCTTGCAGGAATATGTGAGTATTCCAAGTTGAATAATAGCTGAGTAATAAACAATAAAAATATAATACATAATACATTGAACGTGATATTTTTAGGAAAATCTCAATGATGATTTCAAGAAGAAGTAATTGATAGTAACTTTTTGTATAAAGTAATATTTATCGTTTTTTATAAGCGATTTTTATAAATTTACATAAATAATTTATTTTTTTGTTACAAATACATCAATCGATAGTCGATAATCTCCACACAGCAAAAACTTGTTGTCAAGATATATATAGTAATTTAATTTATATTTATTTTTACTTGTGTGATGTAAATCTTTAAATATAAGTTTAGTATACAAAGCATTTTAATAGTAAAAATGCACCCTCTCTCTCTTTTTCTTTCTTTGGCAACAGATTATATATAGCTTTGCAGTAATTATATACTTTTCGAAAACAATAACGAAATGTAAATCACAATTGTTGAGCAATATCTTGCTTTATCTGTGCCGTCTGTGTTGAATAAAAGAAAAATAAGTCATATATATATATATAAATGCACGATATAGTCCATAAATTATAAAATTTATCATTTTATTTCCTAAACATATACTTATAGAAAAAGACAGAGAGAGATATTGCTTGCACAACTATATATTTTTTTTCTGCTAAATTAAGCTAAAAAAAATATAGGTAACATTAAAAGAAGTCATTTTATTAGAATACTCGACTTTACTCTTTAAGCATGTAGTCAATATTATCTACTATTTAAAATCTTGCATCTATATAAAAAAGTCTTCTTAAAAGTCTTATTACTTAACGCAATATTTGTAAGATCACCATCTCTTCAATCTTGCGTCCAGGTACCAAATTGTCTAATATTTACCACGGAACTCTAGTAGATGGTGGAGCAGGAGTAGGTCTATAATATAAACAAGAAATAATATACACATGATACATGCTTAATATTTTCATAAAGATATCGGAAAAAATTTAGATAATATTAGATATTCTCTCTGACTTACTTTTTTCCAACAATTGGTTTTTGATACGGATGGGTTGTCATAAGACCGCGCCTCTCTTTATTACGTATTGCCTTAAACGTCACGTCTGTCTTTTCCTCAGTATTATTGTGTTGGGAAAGAGATGACAAATTAGCAGTATTGTTCTTTAATTTATTTAGAATGGCGACACTTTTTGCACTCATTTGTATAGGCCTCTGCAGTTTGTTCTCCTTGTCTCGACCAGTACTCTGTACTTTGTTATTCATTACTAGCTTTTTCGTTTGTTTGAAGGGTGTACTGCTGTTTTCACTGTTTTTGTCAGATAATACACGTTTCCTGATTATGTTCTTTGCATCAGTTCGTGGAGATGCTTGCACTGATTCATCTTTCAGCAAGAATTTATTTTCGTGACTTCCGCTGCTTAAATTACTTCCGTTACTTAAATTAGAAATATTGCTGTCGATATTATTCTCACCTATAGCAGCATCGAAGGTACAGTTCAAAATATTCGTATTGTGTTCTTCATCATCCATCTCTGCGATTACTGGCATTGAATTATTTAATGGATCTATTCCACTTGTACTCAAACACGTAAACATGTTGAAATCGTCCACTTTGTTTGCCTCGTCCGTATCAGACCATTTGATATTTCGAAATCCTTCGAGCAACTTTATTAATTCCTTAAATTCTCCTTGCATTTTATCGGTCATTGTACCGAAACCTTTCACCATATTATAATAATTCTGTAATGTATTACTCATACTCTTTGTTATAGTGTTAATCGATTGCCTCTCGTTTTGCAGGACACTGCTAAGTTTTTTCATATGCTGTTGCATACTGGGAATCCAACATTTCTCGATGTTGAAAATTTCCAAAGATAGTTTACTCTGCAGATTCTCATCGAGAAGTTTAGCTTTTGTCTCTTGTATTGCTGTTTCAATCAAACATAATTCCTGCCATGTCTCTTGCATTTGCGCTTTAAGGGCCTTTCGCTGCCGCTGAAAATGTTGTAAAGATTTATTAATGCGCAACTTTCCGCTAGCATTTCGTTCTTCCTGTGACAAGATATCGCTGGCTGCCGTTAGATTATGTAATCTCTCATCCGCGTCTTTTTTATAGAGTATCCTACAAGCTAAAATTTTATCGGCGCTCTCCAAACTCAATATCTTCTCTATCAAATCCTTCTTCTTTTCGTGCAATTTTATCAGTTTGTTGTACACATCCAACATGATAACAGTTGGTTTACTCTCAATTGGTTGCGGTGTTTCATTCTCGTAAGTTGCCAATTTTGATTTCAAAATATCTATTTCCTTCTTCTGTTCCTCCACTATCTTGATATAACCAGCAACATGTGTTTCACAAGATACATTCTTCTTAGCATACGATTTGATTTTCTTTGCTCGATTCGCATATCTTAAAGTATTATGTGTATCTTCATAAGTAATGCTACCAGGGGCGATATTAGCTATCATAACAGTGTGGCAATTACCACCAAGTGAATCCTTTAATAGCCTCGTAAGTTTAGAGTCCCTATATGGAATATACTTTATACCATCTGCTAGATTATTTATACAATTTCCAAGAGCCAATAAGGATTTATTGATGTTAGCGCCTTCCTTAAATCTCACACCTTTACATCCAGTAGCTGAAGCTCTTTCGGATCCCGCCAAATCAATCATGGACAGTTTAACTCGCTGCACCTGACTGTCTAGCTTATTGATTATCTTAATGTATACCTGGAAAACTGCATGACTTCTACTGCTTTCCTTGTTTGCATCCGTTGGATGCTGAGTGCGATTCTTATTACCCTCTGCCAACAATGATAACAATTCCTCAGCGTTTTGAATAGCGATAGGTTCTAATCCAGCAACTACAACTCCACATCTACCATCTTCCCTCAAGTGCAATTGGCCTGATTTGTGCAACAAATCTTGTACATTCTCGTTATATATTTCCAGATAAGACACACCCAAGGTAAATTCACGATATTTGCTCTGATTTTCAATCTCAGAGAAGAGTTCTGCCACAGTGTGATATGTAATACCAGGATCTTCCTTGTTACCCAACATAGTATGAGTTTTTCCAGCACCAGTGGCACCATAGGCAAATACAGAGCAATTGTAGCCATCTAGAAGGCTGTTGATCAATCTCTTGGTGCTTCCCTCGAATACATCAGTATTGATGGATGTCGAATCAAAGACTCTGTCAAAAATAAATTGTAGTTGCTTGTTCTGTTTCTTCAGCATGTCCCTACCTTTCTGCGCTACATTGTGGAAGAAGAAGGGCGTCTCATGTTCCTTCGGGTCGAAAATCAACATTTTGTCATCGACAACTTCGATAATCGTTCTATTGTTATCTTGTAGCTCGCGTTCATTAGGCGGACGAACTCGTACGATCACCTTAATTGAAATTTCAGAAGTATCTTCCGTTTTTATCGTGGAACTGCTTGTGCTCGGCTTGACTGATCCACCGGCCGATAATTGTCTCTTGAGTCCCACTTTCTTGGCTTTGGACGGCGAGAATGCCTTGCCCATATCCTTCTTACTGAAAACCATCGTTAATAGACTACAACCGCTCGAGTTTGACTAATTTGCGATCCTCAGTACCATAATTTCAGGGAGCAAAGGAACAGACGTCATTCACGTTGCTCTTCTCACATCGTGACATCGCCCGACGCCACTACTTCGAAAATTTTCAAGCGTTTAGTCTATCGTTAATTACACAATCGTTAATTACACAACCGTTACTCGACGTATGTTGAGCACGCTCGGTCGGAGGCAAGTTTTTTTCGTCACAAAAGTGAAAGAGAATCGTGCTAAAAAACACGAAGCTAATGAATAAACGCTCGTCACCGAAGAACGTGAAGAGCCGTTTGGCGTTACGTTGAGTTTTGAATTTTAAACGCAGACAATCGAGCGCAGGCGCGCAAATCGCCAGACGATCAAAATTACTAGGGGAAATGACATCATCGGCTTTCCTCAAGCTCAGTTTCCAACAAGTGATTATGGATTTCACTAGGCCATTCCATACAAACTTGCATAGCCGCATAATCATATGCATAAAGAAAATTATCCAATGATATTTCTATCATAAAGACAAACGTAAAATAAAATTGAATGATTTTCTTTATGCGATAATTATATTAGGACTCTCGAATTTTAAATAATACAAAAAGATAAATATAAGCTAATGAGTGTCAGCAACGATAAATGGCGCAGTTATTTAGTGAACAACTAATATTCAAATATTGGATTGATATCTTCTTTATTTTGAATGTTTCGACTTTCTTTGGAATCCTCCTCAGCATTTTCTTTATGCATATGTTTTTGCGACTATGCAAGTTTGTGAAATGACCCTTACATCTAAAACTACATGGAAAACTAGTGCAACATTTGAGCACACTGAGTGCAATTGATTAATAAATGAATTCACGTATCTTTAGAGTTAAATTATTAATAAATAATTTAATTCTTTTTATTACTATTTTTTTGATGACCACGATAACCCTATAACTTTAAAAAGATTAATTTATTTATTAACATTGAAAATATGTAAATCGATTTGCACTCAATTGTATCAGTGTTGCACTAGTTTTCCTAGCAGAAAGTGCAAAAAGTGCAAGCTACGCGAATAATAAATCTATTGGTCTAGATTGATCTAGATTGTTTGCGCGTGATCGCGTGATTCTGTACGTTCATTGTTGTTCATTAAGTCATTTTCTAATGACGTCTTAGAGCGTCGGGTACACCGAAGATTACACGTGTTTACGTTAGTTTGTGCACGCTGCGGCTGCATGCGATAACGTTATGCGACAACAACGCATATATACATCCGATGTTTTATTTCGCAAGGTTTAAGCACGTCGATTAACTCTGGAAAAAAAAGAGAATCGTATCTGTATTACGTAAATCACAATATAAGGTATACAGAGTCTTCGCACGACACATCAAATTCAAGAACGCTGTTGGTCGTATATATTTATTTTGAGTGTCTTTAACCTATAAGAGATCGAAGATGTGCTGGAAAAGCGGAGGCGAAGAGAAATATTAGCACGAGGAACGGTGCCGGAGCACGGCGATATTCCGAGATAGGATGGTCTTACAAAAAATCAGCTATGACTTCGTTAAAAGTTTTCGGCATGTGCATGCTAGAACAAGCGAGTCTT